TCCGGGAAGATTTGTTCATTCTTTTGGCAGTCTATGGTACTTTCAGTATTCTTCACCAACACCACACTCAAAAGCATCAACTCTTCTTCAGTCTTCCTTGTTCACTGTACAGTAACATTGTACATAACATATATAGACATATGAGCTGAACAAGTGTGACAGGTGAAAGGCACTACAAGCAGGAATATATTTTGGACAGAGGATATCTCTACACATGTATTTACATATGTTGCAAATATATCCATGAATGTAATAGAGCATACAGGGGCAAAGTTATGAAAATTTCTTAGCCATAACCAAACACCATCAAGAAATGAATCTCTGGCCATCAGCATTCACGGTCACAGTCTCAGGGACATCAAGATCAACTGACACAACACAGTGCACAAAGAAAGTGTTCTACATCCTACTTTGAGGAGTATCCACTAGAGTCTTAAAACTTGTGAGCAGCCATCTAAGGTGCAACTATTGGTCTTTCCCCACTCAAAGCAACAAAGAGTGAAGAAAATCCAAGACACATGGAAACAATTAGTCCAAAAAATAATACACTATGTGGACCTCAGCCTTCATGACCTGAGACCAGAACAACTAGATGGTGCCCAGCTACCACTACCAAGCACTTTGAAAGTTAGAAGTTCCTGGACAAAGTGGGAGAAAAATGTAGAACAAAACTCAGAATTATAAAAAATACCATGCTTACCTGTAGGCTAGAAACTTGTGGAACACCTGAGACTTACCCTTCAAGCCTGGAACTGAACTCACCTCCATAGCTCATCTTTCAGCTAAATAATCAACAGGTCTATAAGGTGAACAATAATACCAGGGAGGTATGCAGTCCTTAGAATGATCAATTATTTGAGATCAAAGGGTAGCATTTGCTCAAGGACAAAGTTCAGAAGGCAGAGAATTATAGAAAATAAGGAGGAATTAAAACAGAAAACACAGGTAGGAAGTGGGATGAGTGATGTTACATTGTGGGGATTGCAATCAGTGGCATAAAACAAAATATGTATGAATTGAATGGAAAACTCATTTTCTCTATAATCACGCAAGTCACAATAAAATTTAAAAAGAAAAAAAAGTTCATAAAGGACTCCCTAAATAAAAATATTATTCAAATTATTATACTCAATTTTTTAAATGTCTCTGAATTTTAATTACTTCAATGAACGCTGATGGTAGTTTTCATTAAAAGAATAAACAATTAACTTAATAGAGATTTATAAAACACTCTTAAGCAGACACTTAACCAACTTGGTGTTAGTGAAGAATAGTCAAAGTACCATGGATTACCAGAAGAACTACAAATCTGTCCTGGAAGAAGCAGCCAGAACGTTCCTTAGAAGTGAGAACAGCCAGACTTTGTCTCACCTACTTTAGTAATGTCAAAAGGGACCATTTCCTGGAGAAGGATATCATGCTTGGTAATGTGGAGGGTCAACAGAAAAGGGAAAGACCCTCAATGAGATGGATTGACACAGTGGCTGCAACAATGGGCTCAGGTATAGCAAGGATTGTGAGGCTGACACAGGACTGTTCAGTGTTTCACTCTGTTGTCCATAGGGTTGCCATGAGTCAGAGCTCATTCAACAGCACCTAACAACAACAACAACAAAGAAGACACTTCCCACTAAATAACAGCCATTGTTTTTCAAGTAATGTAAGAAATTCTGTGAGAATTGGTGGTAAATTTCAACTTACAACCATGTTCCATTCTCAATAACTTTTATGTTCAATCAAATAAAAAACAAAACATTTTTAAGTAGCTGTTCTACAATGATCCATTGTACCTTATGAATATAATTTGTAACACCATGGCATCTGTGATAGTTGGAGCTATGAGTCAACTTGGCTGGACCACAATTCTGAGTGGTTAAACTAGTTGTGATGTGGGTTATTCCCATCATGAGATCAGAGGTATATGTTTTGAGCAGCAATTGGTTGAAAGGGAGTTTCCCTAGGGATGTGACCTGCTTCCTGTATATTTATGGACATCCTGGGAAAAAGAGACACTTTTCTGTGGATTAGGATCCTGTTGTGCTGCCTACAACTGTTCATAAGCAAACAATCCACCATTCTGCCTGATGATGTTGGATTCATCATCTGCTGGAGTCAACAGTCTGCCAACCTTGATCTCCTCAGCCCTTGCAGCTGCATGAGTCGGGAAAAGCCTCCAACCTAACATTTGATCCAAGAACTTAGAACTTGCCAGCTTCTATAAGTGTGTGAGCCATTTTCCTAAGATAAATTTCTCTCTCTCTCTCTCTCTCTCTCTCTCTCTCTCCCTCTATATATATATATGTTGTTGTTGTTGTTATGTGCCGTCGAGTCGGC